AAGGCTGTGAGCCCTCAATGAAGGATACACTTCCCCAGAAGCAGTGAGACTACAGACCAAATTTACCTTGAATAACAAAATGACTCGGGCACCTTTGGAATGGTGCTGTTCCCGTAATAGTTAATGGGAAAATTCACAAAACTTTCTATCAATAAATGCTAGAGGTTTCGTTTCCTGGGATTCTATACAAAGCCAAATGGAAGCATTTTCCTCATCAAGTAACTGTATAATATATTACATTGTAATAATTTAAGAGCAGTAGCATTGCTTAGATCTTTACATTTATTTAAAAGTTTTATTTCTGAAAGAACTCCAGTTAGTCGCACAAACACTCAAACCACTTGCTTTTCTCATTCTTCTGCAATTTATTACATACAATTATCGGAATGGTGAGGGCCAAGTTGTTTCTGTAAAGCAGCTGAGGCGGAATGTTCCATCATTTGTGAAGAGTGTTGTGAGATATCGTGCTTTAATTTAAACTCATCATACCGACTTGAAGTAGGTGGAATGATATTGATCAGATTTACATAATCTGTCATCTTTATAAGCTTCAAATTAAAAAGCAAAATAGAGTTTAATATTGTCACTTACTTTCAACAGTTACATTGAGATGGTAGTGAATATCTTACTCAAAGTTATGAATTGATATGCCCAGTACAAGCTAAACACCTTTTCCAAAAATTCTTAGATTTCCCCCCTAAATTAAATCCTAAAGCATTAACATAGGCTTTGCCATCTGGAAGCATGTTGGAATCTAGGACAGTTGCCTTCAAATGCCAATCTATGGACTGGGTACATTGGAATTACCCAGGAAGCTTTTCTAAACAATGTAGTTGCTCAGAGGGCAATGCACAGCTAGGTGTGGGGACCACTAACTAGGGTTTTCCAAGAGTGTTCCTTGAGACAAAGTCTGATACTCCCCTAAAAATATTACACTCAGAGAAGTTTGAAAAACACTGCATACTTTATCTACTTCAGAGATTTATAATGTACCTCATCATATTACAGGATTTGGGGAGTCCTATAGTAAACAAACCAGCTTAGCCCAACATTTCCAAACTTGAATGATAGGTGACCTTGGAATCCATTTTTTGCATAATACTCAATCAAGATTGTCCCAGGATGTGATTTAGGGGAAGGTAACCTGCTATAGACTTTTCAACATGGGCCTGGTGGGAAGGGTCCCCTGAATATAAGTCTCCAGGAGTGGGGAAGAGTGTGAGATATGTGTGTTTATCAAAGAGAATATGACCTTATTAAGATTGAGGGCTGGGCACGGGAGCTCACACCTGTAATCCTAACACTCTGGGAGGCTGAGGCAGGAGGATCACTTGAGCTCAGGAGTTCTAGACCAGCCTGAGCAAGAGCGAGACCCTAACTCTACTAAAAATAGAAAAATTAACTGGTCATGGTGATACATGCCTGCAGTCCCAGCTACTCGGGAGGCTGAAGCAGGAGGATTGCTTGAGCCCAGGAGTTTGAGGTTGCAGTGAGCTACAGTGACGCCACAGCACTCTCCCCAGGTTGACAGAGAAAGACTCTGTCTCAAAAAAAGAAAATTCAGAAGCACTAATCCTAAAGAACTTCTTTTTCTTTCATATCTACTGTGTGCCAGGCACTGGGCTAGATTCTTTTTACCTGTGGATTTATTAAATCCTCACAAGTACCCCATGAGGTGGTGATTTAAAGATGAGGAAAATGAGGCTTTGGAAGACCCCTTCACAACTGTGACCAGGTGTGAACTCTGGTTCTTTAAGTTGTGCCTGGTTGTGGGAGGAAAGGAAAGTGAGACCTGGAATCAGTAAGGGTGAGCTAGTGGTGGCTGCTGTTAAAACCTTCATTTTACAGAAAGGCATCAGTCATAGGAATCACATGCTGTGTTTAATTCTGGTTATAGTGTTTTTGTTTCCTGAAAATTTTCAAACTTAGTATCTTCCCACAGGTTTTTGGAAGCTGCTATCACAAAAGTCAGGGTATTGCTCTATTTAAAAATTAGTAGAACTTTTAATAAAATTGCTAGCACTGTCTTTACCTAGATCAATGATCAATTTTGTAGGTATAATTATCTGTTTAAAATTAACCTTAAGAGACTGGGCCAACTGACCGTGGGTCACAAGTCAAGGAAAGAAGGAAAGTTTCCCTGAGTCATCATGGGCGTCCTTGCAACTTCTGAAACAAAGACACAATTTTATATCCTGTGTGGCATGTCCTGATGCGGGCTGTTTTAGCATTTTTTTTTTTGACTACCTTTAAAGGCAAAGGGCCAATATACCACTGGGGTCAGAGCTTAGGGGACTGGAGTGAGGGTAATAATAGTCATGGATAAAGAGATCCTGGCAGTGGGGATGTGGAGGTTTCCTACAAGCTGAGAGCATTTATCCTCGGTTCCCAGAGCTTCTGTATTCTCCCCTTTCTTCCCTTTCTCTCATTCCATGCTCTTTTTTCCTTGTAGGTCCTCCTTTCTTTAAAACACTTCATTTTCTTTCATTAGTTTTTCTAGAAAAGCTCATCAGATTTCCTTCCCCAACTTGCTAAGCCATTCCAGCCCCTTCTCAGGCTCTGTTCAGCACACCGTGGCTCAGGGACGGATTTCCGTTCAGTGTCTTCACTGAGATTTATACCGAAGGCCAAAAGGAAAAATGACCATGCAAAGACTGTCTCAGCATAGCACCTTCTGAAAACATTGTACATTATATTATGTAGCTTTCCTTGGGATAAAGGGCCATATGATAAACATTTTAGAATTCAGTTCCAAAGATTAAAAAATAATATATTTACATATAAACATATATATGTCTGCAAGTGTACGTGTGTGTGTGTGTGTGTGTGTGTGTGTGTGTGTGTGTGTGTGTGTAGTGATGAACCAGATTGCCTCTCTTTGCAACAAAAGAGTATGTTTCTCTTTGGACCTTGAACTAAGTTTGATCTTCAATTATAACATTATATAGTATATTTTCCAATTTCTATTTTAGAGGTCATATTAAATGTATAATAAATGTGTCACCTATAGTCCTTTGAAAAGTAACAATAAATATGATACCATATTGATTCTAAGCACTGCATATTTGCATTTTGAAAACTCGAATTGCACTATAATCACTCCTGATTCAGTCAGGATACTCTAAAATTCAAACATGTAAGGGGAAAGATGATTATTGCCAAATGGGTACTGCTGGGAGTTCCCAAAATTTTTTAAATGACTTTTTTCTTATTACTAAAGCAATGCCCATTTATTGTAGAGAAAATTTAGATTGCAGATGGACAAAGAAAAAGTCATCTATGATTCCACCAATCATTATTAGCATTTTTTGTTTTCTAAATAACTTGTCAAATGTGTTTTAGTTGCACTTACATATTTTTAAACCTCAAAACATCTTTCTCTATATTGAAGGAGGAACACATGTACATGAAATCCATAACCACATGTAATTAATTATAAGATACTGCCAAAATGTGTGGACAATAACAGCCAGATAGAGTAAGTCAAATCAAAATTTATTTTTTTCCTATGGTAGAGGTAAGTAGTGGAATAATGCAGAGCCACTTTGTATCTTTTAATCTGATTTTTGAAGATAATACGTTGATATGATTTTAAAATCAAAATTAAATAGAAAAGTAAACATGGAGAAGTCTCACCCACCACTGTCTTTAATCCTGTTCTTTTACCTGGTTCCCCACAGTAACGACTTTTGTTTGTTTCTTGGGTCAGAAATAAGAATGTAGTCTACAGCCATACCACCCTGAACACGCCTGTTATTGTTTGATCTTGGAAGCTAAGCAGGGTCAGGGCAGGTTAGTACTTGGATGGATAAATAAGAATATATATTCCCTACTTAGACAAAAGGTAGCATATTCTATACATTCTTCTGCACCTTGCTTTTTCCACTTAGCTTGTCCTAGAGTTCTTCCATATGGAAACATAGAAAGCTGTCATTTTGTTATAGCTACATAGTATTCAGTTCTGTGGATGTACCATAGTTTAAATGCTTTTTTCTCTACAGACCATCTTTTGCTATTATAAACAGTGTCATAATTAATACTCATGTACATATGTCATTTTATACATATAGATAGAACTACAGGAAAATTTCCAGAATTAAAATTACAGAGTCAAAAGATAAGTATATTTATGATTTTGATAGATGCTGTCAAATTGCTCTTTGTACAGACACAGCATTTTCCATTTCCATCAGTATGTGTCCCAAAGCCTCCTCATAGTTATTTTTTATTTGAAAAATGTTTTGTGATTTTTTTAAAAATCAAATTCCATTCTAATAATGCTGGCCTCTTAGAACTTATATTCTCTAAACCCAAACCAATTATTTAATACATTAATGTGAAGTTAGTATAATTATTTCTGTATTAACATGGAAAGGAACGATGGCCCAGATATCCACACTGACAGATAATTCACTAGGAACTCAATTCAGCTTCAGAATATATTGTGACCTCTTCCCCCATTAAATCTCCTTTCCTAATGGTGTCTGTATCATAAAACATTAAGTTGAACTCATAGTTTTAAGCATAAACTAGCTACTGGTGGAAGAAGGCAGTCAAGAATTAGGAAGAGGCCAGTAGAGGATTAAATTTTTTCCCACTTTATCTCTGGGATCACAGGTGATATTTTATTTTGTTGGGTGTATATTTTTAAAAATATTTATGATATGTTCAGATTACTTATATTAAAAAGTAGATACATAGTTGCTGATAAAAGGTCTAACACAAGTCCAATATTTCATTACTTATTTTTACCCCAAGAAGTGTGAATCTCTGAGGAAAAGAATATTGTTTTAAGTAGCACTAATTAATCAATTAACATACATTTTAATGAAATTAGTTCTGACATATTAAAAACTGTACCTCACCACATATCACTTAGAGAGTGGAGAAGCCACATGTAAATAATTGAGAGTTTGTGGCCGTGTTGGTCTTGGTATGATCCCCTGAGAGGGGGTCAGCTATACAGAGGTGTCTGATTCAACCTTTCTCTCCCCTTGCAGCATCTTCCTCAAAGAGCTGGAGAAGTACGAGCAGCTGCCTGAGGATGTGGGACACTGCTTTGTGACCTGGGTAACCAACCTGAAATCCTTCCCCCACTGCCCATGCCTCCAGGAGTGCACATGGCACCGCTCTTCAGTGCCTGGCCTGAGGATTGGGGTCACTGCCAGTCTCACACAGGACTGGGGCTGTAGAGAGGGACCGTGAGCAGGCCTGAGAGAAGCAGTCCATCACCAAGGAGCGTAGCTTTCCTTGGGAAAAGTTCTTAGACATCATGTCCAAGCTCCATTGTAAGCTCTCTATGAAGAACTTTCTAAAATTATGAGAACAGGAGAGTGGAACAATACTAGCACCCTTGGTAGAGGAACTATACCAGCTCAGTTCACTAGTTATTAATATTTTTACAGTATGGGTATTAGGGAATTAGAGTTTTAGGAAGCCACATAACCATTGGTTATATTTTCTTCTTTAATAAAGAACAGACTCCTTGGGTATCCATTCCCAATTCTGGCCTGCAAGATGAGTGTCTAGTCATCCTCTTGGTGCTGTGGATGTGGACCAAGTAAATGGGCCAGATGTACCAAAACAGTCTTCATTGGCATCTCCACTCCACATTATTCTGAGCTCAGGCTCATGACCTGTATATGAATGCAAAGATCTCAAGGGAAGTCCACTGAGGACACTGAATGCAATGAAACATGGAAAGCCTTCCCCAGGGTCAGGAGTTCTGCTATTTAATAATTACCTGATTATAACTTTCACTCAAAAAGGACTAATTACTTTTCAAAATGTCTTCATGATTCAGAGAGTTTATGTTCTCAACAGCCCAATGGAGTAAGCAGGAATGTGTTTATGTTTTAGAGTTTAAAGATGGGAACATCTCAGAGGAGATAGGACTAGTTCACTGACATGTACTAAATATTACATCCAGTCTCATAACTCAAGGCCTGACTCCCAGACAAGCTTGCTTTTCATGAAATCTTAATGTTTGCTTCCAAACATACTCTCATTTCTTCAGAAAGTCTCAGACTACCATCTTATTTACATCTTATAATACATGTTCTGCCTCTAAAAACATCAGCCAATACATAGTTCATATTAATGTTGATAAATAATTTATGATCCCTTGCAAAGCCGATGTGGAGAAAAACAATATTGACAATTAAGTAGAGGGATCTTTTTGCATCTTATTTTATTCAATTTTTGGATTTTCTTTATAGTCAATCATAATTATGATTTATCATCATCTCTTAGGGATGATGAGTAACCTCCTAGGTAGTATATAGCCTCTAAATTGGTTTCAGAAAATCTTTGGTAATTGGATAAAATATGCACCTTTTGCCAAAAATTATCCCAAGGTGACTTTCTTAAATCTCATGATCTTAATACATGAGTATAGTGCAGGAATAATGGCTGGAACGAGTTGTTTGTAATGTATTGAAAGGCAATGGCTGGGACCAAGAAGCCTGAAATCAGATTGCCTGAGCTCTACCACTGGCTAACTATGGGAATTTAAGTCACTTAACTAATCTGTGTCACAGTTTTCTCTTCTATAAGATGGGGAAGATAATAGAACCCACTTTGGAGGGGTCTCATGAGTACCAAATGAGTTAACATATGTGAAAGGACTCAGAATATTGCTCGTGTAAATGAAACCTGCTGTAATGAACACTTATTTAGGCTCTCTCAGAAGAAGACATCATCCCATATTTCCAAAGGCACCGAGATAGACACCGTATCACCAATAAGAAAAGTACTTGGTGGCCAAAATACACACTTTTCCCAGTAAAAGAGTGTATAACATTAACCCAGAGAGTCTTGAAAGAAGGAAGAAATGAATTTTCACCCAGCTATCAGTTTCTTGGCTTGAAGTAACAATCTGGTTAGGAATCATTGTGCAGACTCTGCCCCAAGTGATCAGTCTGCTTTCTTTTTCCCTCATCATTGCTGCTGGGAAGTTGGGATGATGGCATAGTTGCTTGACATGCCCCCCAAGTTCTCCCCAGTGGGGACATGTAGAGTACAAGCAGATGTACCTCTGAGATCATACTTTATTTTCATTCTGTGGTTTTGGATTTAGAGCAAATGCTGTCCTGTTTCAAGATGGGGAGCACAATTGTAGATAATCCAAAAAAGGGGATAATCTCTAAATAAATTCTATCCAATTTCAGAATACATTATGATATATGAGTTTCTTTTCTAATTCTTCCTAGCACAGAGTAGTATTGAAATGAGCTCACTTTCAGCAAGCTTTCTTTACCTGCTGATAGGAGGACAACCATGCCAATGTCCATTAGGGGACGATGGGTCTAAATGAGCACAGAACATTTGCTACAGAAAGTCTAGGCACTGGTATCTGAGCTTTAACTGTACTGCCTTTGCCAGGCCCTTCAGCACAGTGGACAGAAGGGAGCAACTAATGGATACTTAACTATTTTTGTCTTTGTTCTTTTTAGGCAGACAAATTTCAGATGTATGTCACCTACTGTAAAAACAAGCCTGATTCCAACCAGCTTATCCTGGAGCACGCAGGCACCTTCTTTGATGTAAGCTGTGGTTTTCCATTCTTAAGCAATTGATAAGCAGGTGGAAACACTTCTCTGCTTTGGAAAGATGGGAGTTTAGCTTTCCTTTGTTCATTTTGCCCTACTGACCACTCCAAACCTTTATCTCATAGCTAAAGCATGGTAAAAGACAAAAACAGTGTTTGTCGTTTGTTTTACCCACTCCCCTCTCAGCCACTGTGGTTTGGTCAAGGGCAAATTTGCCTCCATGCCTCAACACCAAAACTAGCTAGCTGCAAACCTCGTGTTTAGAGGAGGCCCACTGTGATGCAGCTGTTGATTGAGACGTTTCACTTCTGCTTCGTGCACAGCTCCCAGACACGTGGTGGTTCCCTAAGCATGATCCTCAGACCAGCCACAGCAGCATCACCTGAGAACTTGTTAGAAACGCAAATTTTTGGAGCCCACTTCAGATCCATTGGGTCAGAATCTCTGGTGTGGGGCCCAACAATCTGAGTTTTAAGGAAGCCTCTGGGTGACCCTGATGCCCACTCAAGTTTGAGAATCGCTTCTCTAATGCAAGTGATTCAATCTTGCTACACATTGGAATCACCTGAGGAGTCTGAAAAATACTGATGCTTGAGTCCTGTGCCTGAGATCCTGATGCGATTGGCCTGCATGCGGCCTGGGCATTGGGACTTGCAGCCAGGACTGAGCACTTGTGCTGTAATGGAAGCCAAGAAAGAGGGGGGCTGGTATGCCTTGTCAGATCCTCTGGTTTTGAAGGAGGACACAATCCTGTTGGTTGATGATACGATAAACCTATTTAGTGCTGGTCCCCGAAGAGAGTGACCTATTGGCTATAAAATAAGCAGAAAGCAAAATCAAGTGGGTCACTGCAGGATTCAAGGGATGAACAAGAGGGAAAGATGAAATTAGGAAAAAAGTACAGTGAGAGACAGACTGCAGTGGTGGTGACCATTCTAGTAGTCATACCAGACCAGAACTGACACAAACGTGAAATCCAGAGCCTCTTGAAGGCAACCAGTCTGTCTTTCCGCCTACTTATTTTCATTTCTTTCATAAATATCTGGATGTCTAGTGGATGCAAGATAGCGTGCTAGGTCCCGTGGAGAATACAAAGACATTTAAACATTGTTTCTCTACTCAAGTTTGCAAAATAAACCTTCTCTGAGCATCTTTCTAGCCTGGCACTGCCATATCAGAAATATTTCTGAAATATCTTGTTGCTCAGTAAAGAAATGACACTTGAATAGACTTGAGAAGGAGAAAGCCAGACAAGGAAAAAATGTACATGATTTTTTTTAATGAAACATTAATATGGAAATGATCATATATGTCCCAAACTGGAATTTCTGGGGTTAGATTTGATAAAGCAGAAGAACCCAAGCAAAGTGTTTCTCTAACCTGATATCAAAATTTATTGGATATCATATTGGATGCTTTATACTACCATTATTTTTGATTGATAATGTTTTCCCCTTAAGTTACTTCCGGTTGATTAGTCATCAGCAGTGTCCAAATGGGTCTTTTAGCATTTTTCTGACATATGTCCTGTGCTGTGAGCATGCCTCATATTCTTCTGCTTCCTTATCCTGGCTCACACCATTCTCTCTGCCCAGAATGAATTGTGTCCCTTCCACACGACACACACCACATGTGCTTTTCAAAATTCTTCCTGTCCCTTAAAGGTCAAATGCTGCTTCCTACATGAATCTTTCCCTTTCTGTGTGCATTCATTATACTTTGTATCTCTGTTAAAGCATTTGTAACAATTTGCCTTTTGGCAGGGTAACGATGTACCTTTCTGTTGTACACACCTCCCTCCACCTGCCAGTCCCTTGAGGCCTGATGGTATGCCTGATTCATATTTGTACACATATCAGTGCCTGGCACTAAACTACATTTTCCATTTGTCCCCCGTGCTTCACATCCCTGTTTCTAGCCAATTTCCAGACTTTGATAAGTCAGATAGACTCCAAATTTCCCACCCTACCCCCATTTGCAGAGCAGTGCCTCGTGAGCCTCCGCATTAGTTGGGAAGGCCCATGGAAGCCAGAGAACCAGTCCAGTAGGAGTTCATCAAGTCTGGCCTAGAGGTGGAGAGGGGGAACAGGAAACTCTCCAAATTGTTCCCAAAACGTTCTAGAAAGAATAACCTTTGTAGTTTATTTCCATTCCATCAGAAAGTTTTCCCTAAGTTCTACTCTTAGGAACCATCTGCCTTAGGCCCTCATTCTATAAAAGAGATAAACCCTTAGTAAAGGCAGAGTCTTAATATCTATTACTGTAAGGAGAAAATAGAAAATTAAAGTCCCGGAAAGGCCCACACATTCACATGATACAGAATTTTTGACCGCGATGTAGAAGAGTGTGGTGCGATGTCCAAGCTTGGTTTGGCTGATCTAGCCTCTGGGGCAGCCCCTTCCTTGCTGCTCCACGTGCAGCCTTCCCAGAGCTGGTGTCATGACAGAGGGAAGAGTATCAAAGGTGCATTGTTGCCTGTGCTCTCTTGCCAAAGCCCCCAAGTAAGCTCACAAGGTTCAGTTGCCCAAAGAGTGTCAAGCTGCCAGCAGTTCTGTCTATCCTCATTGAACAAGTCTTGTTGTAACTACATACCTCTAGGGAAGAGGCAATGAGTGAGAAAATTACTACTTTCTGGGATAGTTGGTGGGAAAAGGAATAATTTTTATTCTTTCTCCTTCACTCTCCTTCATTGCAAGTCCTGTCTAGTCTAACTTTAAAATATCTCTTGTATTTCTCACAATGCTTTATTCTCACTAATTCTAGCTTAGGGAAAGCCCCTATATTGCACACCTGCACTTTTTTTTTAAATAACATAGATGTGATTCTGCTACAGTTCATCCATTTAAGGTATGCAATTCGGTGGGTTTAGTATGCTCACAGATATGTGCAACCATCCCTACAGTCAATTTTAGGGCATTTTCATCACCTCAATAAGCAATCCTGCATCCTTCGACTTTTACACCACAAACCCCCAGCCCTAAGCATCCACTGATCTACTTTCTATCTCTATAGATTTGCCTTGTCTGGACATTTCATTGAGATGGAATCATATAATATGTGGTCTTTTGTGACTGACTTCTTTCACTTAGCATAATGTGTTCAGACTTCATCTACGTTGTTTCATGCGTCACCACTTCATTCCTTTTTATGGCGAAGTAATATTCCATTGTTTGGGTATACTGCCTTCTGTTTTTCCGTTCATCAGTTCATAGGCATTTGGGTTGTTCATGCATAGACGTACATTTTTATTTCTCTTGAGCATATACGTAGGAGTGGAATGTTGGATCATGTGGTAACTTTACATCTGCACACCTGGGCTTTTGCGGTAATCCCCTAGCTTGCCTCTCTGCCTCTATTTCCACCCCTATGTTATATTAGGTACATCACTCTTTTCAAAACATTACTTTTACCATGTGTTTCTTTTCTTTAAGATCTATAATACTTTACCATAGAAAAACTTAACATCAAATCTTAATTCTTTTTTCAAACTCAACCCCATCAGTGACCTAATTAATCATTCATATCTAACTCTATTTTTTGCTTCTTACAGAATCTAGGTGTGTATCTTCTGTACCATTCAGGCATGTCCTCATTATCATCTAAACACACAATGATTATTGCAGCCTGTATATTTTGTGTTTGGTCTTCTCCCTTCAGAGAGTGTCATTCCTCCAACTTTCTACTTAACCAACCCCTACCCAGCCTCTAGGCCCCAGGTGAGGCTTTAGCTCTACTAGCCACCGTGACCAGTCCAGATGCAGTCATCGCTCTAGTCCTCATTGGCTATAATGTACCCTCTATTGTCCTTAGTTGTTCTCTAGTTTATATGTGTTGAGTATTCTCAGATGGACTGTAAGCTTTTTGAGGGCAGGGACAAAAATGTACCTTTCTGTGACCTTTATAACCCCTGGACATTGGGGAATAGAAGATCACTTTGGAGGTAGGCTAGAGAGTGGATTTGCTGGGGAGACTAAGGTGCAAATAGCAGGTGGAGGCATGATGGATGAGGGTGGTGTCCATGGAAATGGACCGGAAGGATTTGCCAGCAGGGAAAAGGGGGCAAATGACTGAAAATGACTCTGTGGTTTCCTGCTCAGGAGACCTGAAGAATAAGGGAGGTGCCATTAATCACAGTGAAAAATTTATAAGAAATAAAGCGATGACCCTAAGTTGGGATGTGTTAAATTCAAAGAAGAGGGATGGTAAGAGAGAGATGTCCTTGTGCTATTTATGGAGACTGAGGGCAGAGAAAGATCCATCACGAGTTGTCAGAACAGAAATCAGAGCCTCGTCCTCTGCCTCCCCTTCCCTCTCATCTTCGCTCTTACCTTTTGTTTCCCACATTTGGGAGGTTATTTCTTTCACTCCAACTTCTTCGCCTCTCCTTTTCCCTCTGGCTGTCATTTACCTTATCACTCTCTTTTCTACCTTTATCTTCTCCCATTTGTGCTTAATTTCTATTTCTGTTTCATAAATCTACCTCTTTCCCTAAAGCTTCTGCCTCTTCGCCATCTTTATTCTCTCTATACAGATGTATGTGTCTTGGTCTCTCTTGCTTCTCTTTCCACTCCCTTCTCCCTATCCCAGAACATTTCCCCATAATTGCCTACATTTTCTTTTTTCTCCTCTCTTGTTACTGCTGCCTACCTCCTCCCAGAACATACACATACACACACCCTTCCATGTCTAATTGCACCTTGTTCTCATCCCTGCAGGAGATACAGCAGCGGCATGGTCTGGCCAACTCCATCTCTTCCTACCTAATTAAGCCTGTCCAGAGGATCACCAAGTACCAGCTGCTCCTGAAGGTACCCCCTCCTCACCCTCTGTACCACCCTCCACTGCACTGCTGCCAGGGCAAGGGAGGCCCAGCTTTGCCCGTATGGGTAGGAAAGCTTCACTGAAGACCTTTCTTCTACCTGGAGCAGAACTTCAGAGATGAGCCCACACTGGCACTGCTATCCTATCCATGGAATTCCAGATGCTCGTTTTGGGGCAGAAAGAGGAGAAATGGGAGCAGCAATAAGTTGTGACTGTTTTCACATTTACCCACCACTAAACAACTTTTAGCAATTGCCACCATAGGCTCTGGCTGACTTTTTGAGGATTTCTTGTCCCTCCCTCTTGGAGTAGTTTCCTCCTTGTATCCCCTACTTTTGATGGAATCAAAGCTCAGGGTCTTAAGGGCAGTGCCAGTTTGCGTGGGTGGTAGAGGCCAGGGTGGCAGCTACCACTGCCATAATCTCTGTGTTTGTCAAGACTATGAGGTTTTGGAGGGGAAACAGTCCAAGGGTGCACATTAAAATACCGTGGCACTCTTGTATCTGCAGGATCCCATCTCTTAGGGGTTCTTCTTCCAACCAAAAGATTTGGATTTTTTTTCAAAATTTTAAAGAAGTTTTTTCCAAGCCTTCTTTAAACATTAAATAACCAAATTATGTAAAACACTAAGTAATTTGGTTGATCCTTCTTATATAAAAATAAACAAATACTCTGAAACTATGACATTTCCCCAGAAAGACTGGGAAATTGATATAGGCAGTTAGATAACTCCCATCTATGTTAATTCCTAAAGTGTAAGGGTGGAGTTTTCCGTCATTTGGAATATTTTGCTGGTTGCTCCTCTAACGTAAAGGATAAAGGGATAGTGGGAAGACATGTTATAAGTACGTAGTGTAGCTTCAGAAAAAACCTGATGAAATTCAGCTCATGTTTAGAGATGCTGGCAGAATCTTGCATAGTCTAGCTTTGTTGAATCTGAAAACCAGTCAAATTTCAAATCTAGGATTCTGGTCATACTAGAGTGAGCCCCCCATTCCTGGCCCATGGGGCCTCCCTGGCATAGCCCCTGTGGTTCTGTGATGAGAGGTGTAGGGGCAGCTGTGAGGTGGGGGTGCAGCAGCCTGTGCCCTGGTCATCTCTTCCGTCCTCTGGGTCAGGGCAGGGCCACACACCATCATTTCCCTTCAGCCTCCTTCCTCATCTCCAAGAGACTGCTGGCTGCTTCTTCCAGGACTCAAGTCATCCTACCCGCAGAAAAGCTTAGAGAATTATAGCTGGGCATCATACCCTCGGCCTTTACTGAGGATGGGTATGAGAAATGACAATGTGCAGACATCTCAGCTGTTTGAGCAGACTACTTTTGCTTCTCTGTTTTTTGAAGTTTCTTATATAAAGACATAGAAATTCTCGTAAGAGCTCAGGGTAGAGGGAGTGGGAAGACCTCTCTCCTAAAAAATTGGCATGTTTTCTACCTGTAAACCACAGATGCTTAGGCTCTTCTTTGCCTTTGAATATCAGAAAGTTAGCATTGAATTTTGTGGTTGCTCACAGTAGATTCTCGTTAGCCCAGATTTCAGTGTATAATCATTTTCTCCTTCTCTGTTGCATGTAATGCTTGACCCTTCTAAATTATTTCTTATGCTAACGGGCTTTCTAAAATTGATTTTTGTGATTTTTAATTTATGTATCCCAAAGCCTTTGAAGGAATCGATGGGATTGTGAATTAAAGAAAAAAAAAACCAATACAGACTAAGCCATCCACACTGCCAGTGTCTTAATTAAGATGCAGTTCTAAGAGAAATACAGCTTTTCACCTCTCCCTTTTAATCTCATAAGGCTGAAGCTCCCTGAGGTTAATTATGTGACATGGTCAGGGTGGGGAGGGGAGAATGTGTTTTGCTTTAGGCAGATGAAGAGGGGGGCTCTATAGGGCTGTGTTCTGGAGTTGGGTGTCTTTAGGAAGAGATGCCCATGCAGGTAACTGAGAGGTAGAAAAATGAAGTAGTGAGAATTTAATTGTGGGGAAGCTATGAAATTTTTTTTTTAAAGGAGAAGATAATTTTGGCCTCTTTTAAATGTGCTGGTGGCAGAGTGCCTGCTTAGAAAAATAGTTTGCTGAGCTTTTACTATAAATAATATGGAATTTATTTTCTTAAAGTCACTTTTATTTCAAATAAATTGATATTTAGCTATCAGTATCCTCTGGGGTTTAGCACTTTAGGTGTTGCATGAAAGTAGAAACTCTGTTGATTACAATGCTCAATATTCTTCATGTAAATCTGCTACAGCTTTACAGAAGGACTCTAAATTAAATGTGGAGTCTTCTCTTTATTGTAAACTATAACAAGGATCCAAGGAGAATTTATTGACTCTCCTGGTAAATTGGTAGACTTGCTAAATTGCTTTGGGGGATTAAACTAATTCATGTGTTCTGTTGCAAACTGAAGCATATTTCTTGTTTTCTTTCTTATGTTCTGCCTCAGGAGTTCCTTTGATGATGTATAAGAACAAGGTTGGGAGGGTTAAGATTAGGAAAGGGATGGAAAATCAAAGAACTTCAGGCTGGCAGAAGTAAATACTGAACAATGATGACGTTATACTGACCGGAAGCCAGGACAGAACTGAGAACTGATCACTTCCACCTCCCAAACGTGTGGTTCACCTCTTCATGGGACACTCAGAGCTCCCTTATTCATGTGGGAATGTATCCAAGATAACATCAAGGATTAAATTTTTATATATGACTCTCACTAATTAGATATCTTACCAAGTATAAAGCTTTACTAATAAGTTTGAAGCTACAAATAATCCCAAGGCAGAGGTGACATAGAAAAGGTCCAGGATCACCAAAGCAAATCTAAGTTCTTTCTTGCAGCATCAGGATGTACTGTGGCCCAGAGTAGTATACAAGGTCTCTAAATGATGTATGTCTCATTGTATCACGCTGAAAAGAGCCATTTTGGCCATGAAATGTACTCACTCTTTTCTTAGATAGTTGCACAGCTTATGTGACACTTTCCAGAGAGCCACAGATTCCAGGTTTGTTTACTACAAGAATCGTAGACAGACCAGATATATCCTTTTAAAAGCACTTCGTAGATAAGTCTCTCCTGCTAGCAAGTTCCATTAGTTTATTTGTCAGGAGGTCTGTCATTGACATGTTTATAAAATTTGATCTGGTGAATTTCTTGAACTTCTTTCTTTCTTGGAAGTGTACCCCCACTCAACTGCCCATCCCCTGCTGTTGTTACTGCTGCCTACCTCCTCTCCCCCTCAGGGAGACAGTATGGATTACAGATCTGTCACTTAACTGTTTCCTTCCCAGTTTCAAAGTGAGCAAGATACAGTAGCCCTGACAGGAAACGTGAAAAGCCAGCATTCTTCTGGTTTGGGCAAAAAAAATCATTCCAAATGGTCTTGTGAGTCTCAAGATAGTTGGAAGTGATCTTTTCTCCATCAACCAGATACTATATATCTTTTGTGAGGATGGTGATGACTGAGTCTCCAATGAGAAAGTAAAAGAGAAAGTGCCTGCTCCCCGCCTCCCCAGGAAGTAAAAGAAAGAGAGTCTACTCCTGGAGGTCTCAGTGTGGTACAGGATATGGGGGAGACAGGGCTGGAGTGGTGGATGGAGTGCTGGACGTGGATTCGGGAGACCTGGGTTCAAGCCCCTGCCTGGCCTCATGGAGTTACAGACCCTGGGGGAAATCACTTCATCCCTCTTAATCAGTTTCCTCCTCTGACAATGAAGTGGTCTAGAATCCCACCTATTGGCCCCAGGTTGGGAACTCCTGGTCCATATGATCTAAAAGTCTTTCATTACTCCAAAATGCCGTAAACCTATAACATCTCTAACCTCAGGTTGCTCCCAGTAGGGTGGACGTCAGCATAAATAACAGTAGCATCAGCAGGAGGCGTGTAGGGGTATGAGTGCTCTGTGTTCTGTAGCACACCCTTGATCTTCTCTCTCTGCCTCTCTTTGTTCTCTTCGTCGTGATCCCACAGTACTGCACCCCTGTTTGTGTGCTTTGCTGGGGCATTCCCTTCTGCAAGAGAGCAGTCCAGCGACAGAGAGTACCCCAGTTGCTGACTCACAGTTCCAGTCATTTGGGAGTTGGGTTGGATTGAGTTTGTTTGGACTAGATTGTGCTGAGGAAGCTCAGTCTGAGAGAAAATGTGGTTGAATCCTTTGGAGATAACTCCTGACCCCACCCCACTTTCCTTACAGCTTAGAGGGAACCATTACAGACAGTGAAGCTGGTCTAGAATTTCCTTGATGGGTTAGGTGGTGGGAGGGTTGGGAAGCTGGGGGAAATGATCCTAATTGTGTCTGGACTTTTTTCCCCAGGAACTTTTAACTTGCTGTGAAGAAGGGAAAGGGGAGCTCAAGGATGGCCTGGAGGTGATGCTCAGTGTCCCAAAGAAAGCCAATGACGCCATGCATGTCAGCATGCTAGAAGGTAGCTGTCCTCCCAGCCCTGGGGAAGCCTCCTCTGTTCCTACAACCAGGGAGCTTGTGTCGTGGTAGGGAAGTGGCATGAAGTCAGGCCAGGGGCAAGACTGGGAGAGAGGAGAAATGGTGGGTAGGTACGCAGGCCCTTGGCATGTGAGTCTCTGCAGGGATCAACCTGGCTAGCAACTTGCCTCCAGGTGGGACCAGGCCTAAGCCATGGAAGGTGTATGAACACCTTGTTGCCCATGCTGTTGTCCAGGACACGCCATCATCCTTTCTATCAGTGTGCTAAAGCCCCCAACCTACAGGAGTCTCGTTAATCTGCATAGCATTTGCATTGCCTCTGTCATCAAAATAAGTGGAAATCCTGGTTAGACACACACACACACACACACATACACACGACACCATCTTCAGCCCTACGCCCTTTTTTGTTGTTATTTTGGTAAAATATACAAAACATGCGTAACATAAATTTACCAATTTAACATTTTTAGTGTGTTCAGTGACATTAAATACATTCACATTCTTGTGCAACCAGCCTTTTGTCCTTCCTAGCAGGTTAGAGAAGTCCAGCCAGATAACCCTGAGAGGACTTCAGTTAGCTAGAGCTATATTCTTGAGACCAGAAACTTGTAAAGTTCCAATAAGTCTTAATGCTGCAAAACAGACAGTAGAGCAGCCATACTGGGGTGGAATTTGTTAGATGAGTTAACACTTAACATTCCAGTCTGGGCTGGCATAAAGGTTGCTAAAGGAAATAAGTGTAGTCTGTTGCAAACATGTAAGCATGTGGGCTGTGTCTTGTCTTCTGGGCTCCATCCCACCCACCATTACCACCACCAGCATCTAAGAGACTTGGTCTGGTGTCAGTACTTCCTGGACTCTCCTTAGCACAAGAGGCCTTAATTCTTAGAGCGAAGGAGCCTGGCTATCTTCCTCGACTGAGCAGGAACCATCTGAATGTATTCCTGTTGTTGCAATTTCTCCACCCCGTTCTTCTCTGTTTGCACCTTCCCCTCCACCCCACCCTGGGTGTCGTCCTCCCAAGTACCCTGCTCCTCCAGCCTGTCCCCGACCTGTATTCTGGATTCAGCTACTCCACTGTGGTCTGTGGACCAGCAGCAGCAGCACCTGGGAGCTTGTCAAAAGTGCCAATTCACCGTCTCCACGCCACACCTCCTGAATCAGAATCTCCTGGGAGGTGGGGGTGGGCCATGATCTGTGGTTGCACGAGCTCTCCAGGTGATTCTTATGCACACTAAAGTTTGAGACCCTCTTTGAAAGACTTACAGTGGTATAAATATAAACTACAGAAGGCTTGTGTGGAGCAATCAAGGGAAGAATCCTAGGAATAGAATACAAGAAATAAGGCACTAACAAATGAAGTGGACTCAGTCAGGCAGTGTTTGTCCTCAGCCCCACTTGGGGCTCCGAGTGGGGAACAGAAGGGGCTGTGGAAGAAGGAGCCATGGGACTCGTGCTTGCAGGAGACCGCAGGCTGGCCATGGGGTAGGGTGGGGGGTTATATACATAACCAAATATTGGTTATGTATATAAAAGACGAGTTGCAAGAATTCTATAGAGATGTCTGTGTCAGTGTTCAGGAGTCTCTGGAGTCGGCAGAGAGAGAAAACCCTGCAGGAACTGAGGGCCAACAATTAGGACAGCCTTTCTCCAAGAGGGGAGTGGACCCTGACTGTGGCAGTAGAGAAACCCCACAGGATGGAAATGGGTATTTTTCAGGGTTCGACGAGAACTTGGACGTGCAGGGGGAATTGATTCTCCAGGATGCCTTTCAAGTGTGGGATCCCAAGTCACTGATCCGGAAGGGGCGGGAGCGGCACTTGTTCCTCTTTGAGATCTCCTTGGTGTTTAGCAAGGAGATCAAAGACTCTTCAGGACACACAAAATATGTTTACAAGAACAAGCTACTGGTAGGTGGGGCAGGTGGGGTAAGGCAAGACTGCCTGCTTTCATAGAACCCTCGGGCAGGAAGGGATGTCGACACATCATCTCATCTCTTCCCCTGCCTCCACACCACAGCCATCCTGGACAAATGACAATGTCTCCTATTGGGAAAGCTCCCACTCTCACCTCCCACTTCTGCATTTTAGAGTTCACAGTTCTTCTTTCTGTTTGCTTTTAGCACCTCCCTCTTCACCTTCCCTCCCTGGTACCTGCTAATCAGGCACGTGCCTGTAGGTCCTTCCATCCTGGGTAGTTGAACAAAATATCCAGTCTGTTTAAGTTTGATTGACAGAAGCCCCTCCCTCGGTCCTCTCCTCTTTGTCGCCTTTCCCTTCCCACCCCAGCCCTAAGTTTCCCCACTGCCCTCCCCTTCCCCGCCTCTCACAGGCATTTCCTGTCTACAGACCTCAGAGCTGGGTGTGACCGAGCACGTGGAGGGCGACCCCTGCAAATTCGCCTTGTGGTCTGGGCGCACCCCATCCTCAGACAATAAAACAGTGCTGAAAGTAAGTACTGCTCTCTGCTGGGCATAAGACCAGGGCTGGGGGTAGCAGAAGGGGGGCAGAGAGATGTGGGCATATGACACCTAAAAGCTAGGGCCTGGAGACCCCACTGAGCCACTGAGCATCTCTTGGGAATGGCAGCATCAGATGGGTGTTGAGAAGCAAATTGCACCACGAAGGCACACCTGGAGTCTCAAAGACAAACAGTCTCCTCAAGTCCATGCACTTGTGTGAGCACAGAGGTAAGAAAGCAGGCAGTGGCCTGCTGGGCCCCCTTCCCAAGGCCCACTTGGATTGTGTTCTGTCCATATGTCCCCTTCAAGGGGCAAGAGCTACATGACCCTTTGACAAAAGGCATCTTGATTTGCTCCATTCACTCAACATGTTTTCCTAAACACCTTCTATGTAAAAGGTGTTCTACCCAATGTTGTGGGGATACCTATGTACATGACATGGACCCTGTTCTCTGGGAACATACAATCTAGAAGCTCCAGTAAATTACATCAGCATGGGGACCATGCTGATCAAGAGAAGTGTTGGGCAGGGACCTTTCGCCAGAGGACAGCCTTGAGGAGTCATTTCAGCTCTCCAGGGTGCAGCCTGGGAATGGAGTCAGTGCTGGTAGTAATGTTAGCCTGGCCGAGCAGTGACCATGCGGTCATGGAGCTCCCACCAGCCGTTTGCTTGGCAGGGACGTGCCCATCATCAAGGAAAGGATGGCTTCAACCCTGACAAAAGCTTCACATTTATTCTCTTTGAACTGCCAGCATGGCTGCTACCTGTCATGAGGCAGAATTACCAGAAAAAACTTCCATAGAGACAAATAGGATACTCAGGAAGTGATAGTAATGCCTTCAACTAACAGATTTAGCATGCTAAAAACCCGGACTGACTTGCAGTCAGTACAAGCCTGTGTGGCCAGGCATATGTTGGACATCCTGACATATGTCCATACCGGTTGGTAAATAAACGCTGCCTTCAAATGCCCACTGGCTGCCCTCCCAGAGCCCCCTAGACCTCCCCAGGATGGAGCAGCTCAAGTGTGAATCCCTGGCCCTGTGCGGGCCTCCAGATACTGCTCCAGCTCCAGGGCAGATTGGTCAGCGCTGTATGAGTCACTAAATACTTCGACAGTCACTTTTGTGCATGTCTGATTTGAGTCTTGAGGTCAGAGGTTAGAGCCCTGTTCTAGGAGGTGGAGAAGCCTGTCCATGGGATCGAAGAGTCACAAGTCTGAAATGAGAAATGAACTCACCAAACATTTGGAATCCTTGAAAATAACAGATGAAACCTCCAAGAGGAGGGCTGAACTGTTTGGGCAGGGTGAAGGGAATTGGGGTCTCAGTCTTTCTCCCTGTGGCACTCCAGGCCTCCAACATCGAAACCAAGCAGGAATGGATCAAGAACATTCGAGAAGTGATTCAGGAAAGGATCATTCACCTGAAAGGAGCTTTAAAGGAGCCAATTCAGCTCCCCAAAACACCAGCCAAACAGAGGAACAATAGTAAGAGGTAACCAGCGTCTCTCCCTCCTGCACTTCCTGCCTCCCACGCTTCCGCTTCCGGGAGCAGGAGTGGGTGAACCTGTGTCTCTGAAGGGGTGGTGTGCCCTGCAGGTGGCACTCCCTGGGGGGCCCATGAGTCTTCTCCTCTTTAAGCATCTCACCAGTTACTGTCAGTTACATTTAGCAGAGCTTCATTGATCAACACTCTTACTTGATAAACACTCTGCTAGGGGCCGCGGGAAGATAAAAGAAGTGTAAGATGAGTCGACTCCCCTCGAGACCCATCTAACAGTCATGTCTCACACATGGAATAGTTAGACAAGAAGAGCCAGTACCGTCCATAGGGATGATAAATGCTAGTAATGTGAGAATTCAAAGAAAGGGGACTTTAGACAAGCCCTGGAGTGGAGCATCTGGGGGAGCTTTGGAAGGCGATGAGCCGCGATGGTGAGCCCTCGGGACTGGCACCGCAGCAAGGGGCTTTGCGCACTGTGATGTGTGGGCTGATCTGGTGTGTTGTCGTTGCAGCTCTTAGTGCAACCGCCCCCACCCCGAGTCCTCGCCTTACTCACCTGAGATGAGCAATGTTATCAGGCAGAAGAGGACTGACTTGTTGTACCTCTCTGAACCCTTCTGAATCCCAGTTTCCTCTAAATCAGGGGGTGACTTCTTAAGTATTTTTTCTCAAGTCTCCATGTGACACTTACAGTGACTCTTTTGGAGGGCACTTCAAAAGAAAACATACAAAAACTTCACATAAATTTTGGAAAACAAATACAGCAAAAACAAAGTTCTGGGGTTGACAGTCATTGGTGGTAACAGGTTCTTCTCTCCTCCCCTATTCATAAATGGAGTAAGTTCAGAGGACTTAGCTTTCCCTCAGGCACCAACCAGGACAAGCAGGTGGGGAGCCGCTTTAGGGCCTGCGGAGGAGTTGCGTTAGTCCCGAGCGAGGCGGTAGCCAAAAAAGGGTGTGGCTTAGGTAGAGACACCTCCATGGCAGGCAGAAGCCCCAAGACCCGCATGGCCAGGATAAGGTCACCTTCTCAGGGCCAGAAGGCAATCACAGCTGCGCTGGGGGAGGGTCATTTTGATTTCAGGTGCCCATGTCCAGAGTCCAGGAAAGGGGTAGGCTTGTTTTAGCACTAGAGACAGACCCTGCTCCAGGAGCCCCTCCTTTAAGAAAGAAGATGGAAAGGGAACAATTATAAGGACAGATGGTCCAGGGCCGTGGTGAGGGAGGGTACTCAGGTGGGGTTGGCTAGGTCACTCTGTGAAATAGCCCCTTTCCCTAGAGTAGGAGAGTTTGAGCATTTCTAGAACATGGGAAGGGCATATCTTGGAAATACCCTGACCTTTTCTTTGCCCCCCACCTTTTCTATTATCCTGTGATGGGAGGGTAAGAAATCTTGGCAGATGCCACAGAGAATAGCCAGGCAATCTGTAATTCCATTAGCTTGGCTCCCAGGATATGGGGACAGAGTTTACAGAGGAGCGGATTGGCTTGGGAAAAACCACCCACAGCCCCAGGTGGGCTCCCCACATCCCCCAGAACTGGCTTCATCTGGAATGGACCAGAAGGGCCACAATGGGCCAGAATAGCAGGAAGCAGGAAGTACAGCCAGTTCTCAACTGTCTACAAATGGTGAGAAGCACTGGCCCAAATCATCCAAAACAACAGATGATCTAAAAGTCCTTTATTTTTGGTTTTGCAATTCATCACATAAGTTCTTTTTACAGCAGATTTTCCTTCCTACAAATGTGTGGCTTCTGTTATTAAAATAAGTTGGCATTTCCCAAGCGGTGGTGAGACAGCAGTTGACTTAGAAGTGTTCTGGGTGGGAGAAAATACTTTTTATGACTAGTAGACACTACCTGTGACATATACACACACATGGGTACCTGCGTACACACGCACGTCCACACACACTCACACATGCACCGGATTATAATTGTTTAGACTCTGTGAGGTGGATTCATTATTTATGGCACTTTGTCCACGTGGTATAATTCTCAGGCTTTGAGCTCCCCTGTGCCCTAATGCTAGTACTTCTGCCCAAACAGCATCAGGGATATAAATTTTATAAAAGTGTCCATGGGAAGAGCTGTCATTTCCTGTGCTAACTGGGCCAACCCTGGCCCCACATCTCCCCCAGTTCTTCCTGACACAGACCATGCAGGCTTCATCAGTTTGCAGACATCCAGTCCCTCTTGGCCCTGTCTATGGGTTCAGTGCAGGATGGGGGCACAGTTCTAAGGCGGGAGAGTTGAAATAATGTGTGTAGGACAGCTGTGTGGTCCAGGGGCCCAGAAAGGGGTCAAAATGCCAGGAGTGTGCTCAGGAGACTCTCTTAGCAGCCACTCAGGAGCACAGCTGGCTCACATGCTGCTGTGGAAGCTGTGACTGTTCTCCAGTCTTTGAGAAATGCCTTGGCCTTCTGTGTTGATAAGAAATCATCACAAATATTCATGAGATCATCAAGACCCACCAAAACAAAGGCAACAAATTCCTCCTCCATACCCTTGGATGGAGGGTCCAACGTCAGGGACTTCCCAAAGATAACCTCCCCTGGAGAAAATATTTTACCCACCCCCATTTTCTTGAGCAGAAGAAACACAACTTAAAAAAATGTCAGTTCTGTTTTCCGTATAGGCCAGCTATAAACCAACCCTCATCCTGGTTACAGAATATACAGAAACTTGAATACCCTGAACTCTGGGATTATTGGAATGACCCAGTCAGCTGGATAGAAGCCTAGGTTCTAAGTAGGATATACATCTTCCTACTGCCTGTTATAAACCCATTCCCAGTGATGCGGGGGGAATTGCCCCCTCTGCAGCGTGAGCCAGAGGAGTTACGGGGAAGAGGTCATTTTGCATTTGGTTATTAACATAGTGATTATATGTTTACTAAGTGCAAGAAGTGACATCATTGAAAATCACAGAGGGCTGCTCCCTTTAGCAGGATAATTTGAGACAAATCCCTAAGAGAAAGTGTCGAGGCACTGTGTGCCAACCCAGCTGGAAATCCTTGTGTGCTCTAAACCCACAGTGGTTCCCCCCACCCCCACCCCTGTTTTTTTTCTCTTCTTCCTGCAGGGATGGAGTGGAGGATATTGACAGCCAGGGAGATGGCAGCAGCCAGCCAGACACCATCTCCATTGCCTCTAGGACCTCCCAGAACACAGTGGACAGTGACAAGGTAGGACAGAGTCCCAAGCTTCCTTCCTCCAGGACTTCTTGTTGGCTTCACCACCCCCGGAGAGGTTCCCCCAGAGGAATGTCTCCCACCATGGAGCTTCACTTCGGGAGCTAGTGGTCTCTTTGTGCCACCTGGAGGGGAAAGAACAGGGCTGGAGGTGACGTGTCACAGCACCGAGGTCTTGTCTGAGGGCAAAGGCGAGTAGTGAGAGAGTCTAGGTTTCTTCTTTCTGAGATGCCCCACCAGGCTGCTTGGGCTGCTCTGCCTTCTGGGAGGACGGATTTCAGGGAGGCTGAGGTTGGGATAGTTTCCTGAGACCTTAGTGGCTGTGATTGGCTTAAATTTATAATGATTGGAATGGGGTTCATGTCAAAGTTAGACCAAGAACAACGGTTTGGGAAATGGCCACAGAGATGCTGCTCAGTAGGGGCCTCTTATCCACAGGGACTCTAGTGGAAATAGTGCTTTCCTCTGGCCAGATTATTTGGGCTAAGTTCTGAGGGACAGGAGGACCAGGAAGTGGCATGCGGAGGACGTAGTAGCCTTGTGAGAAAGCCTAGTCACTTGCTCTCTTACATCTTGGGACAAGTGAGCAAAAGTTAGGAGCTCTGGTGGGGAGCAAAAGAAAAAAGACTGCAGCGAAGACTCTGTGTACTCGCCAAGCTGGGAGAGGAAGGCAGCGTCGGAATTTGCAGCAGGGGAGGGAAGGGCCATGTCTGAGCCCACTCTCCTCTGTTCACGCCAAGGTCCGAAGAGTATGAGATGACCTTTTGGCACACATTAGTGATTTTATTAATGAAGTTATGGATTTCCAAAGACTATTTGACCCTAGTTTATCCAGACCTAGTATTTTGGCCTGGTCCTTCAGCCTCTAGCCAGCAGACTATGTCATTGCTTCATTTTAGCTTTCTAAGTTATGAGGATGTTTAAAAGATGATCTGCATTCATTAGGATTTTTCCTAATTTTTTTATTATTTGAGAAAAAAGCCACTGACACCTTAATGTGGAGACCATGCCCTAAACCTGCTAAAATCATGATGCCAAATCCCCCTAATCATGCTTTAGGCTAGTGTTCAAGGACATTCAGGGTAATTCTGACAACTGCCTTCCGGTTTTTAAGCCATTTTTGACTGATCGTCAGAGTGGATGGAAAATTAGTTTTCTTTCACTTGTAAAAACATATGAAGAAAACTATTTCTGTACTTTCCTGTCTCCTCTGATCTGTTGTCTAGAAATATAACCTAGAATACCCTCTGAGCAAGTGTTACTTTTTAAACAGTCAGTGGGTGGTAAGTCAAGTGCAATGTTTCCCATGTTCAGACGTAGACTGTTAGTGTCGTGGTCCGAGGAGTTCATCCCTTCCAGCTGCTAAGCCATCTTCCCAGAAGCCCTGACTCTGGCACAGACCCATCTCCTAGAGCCATTCGTCTTAGGAAGACCTTGGCTACAGCTATTCCTTATCTTTCTGCCAAGGTACATGAGGCTAGATTAGACGCCTCCAGCAGCAGCCGTTTCATTATTAATGAGGGACCCTGGTACTTAGATTTTATTCTACCAGTTAGGAAACTGAGGCTCAGAATGACTGAGTACCTCACCCAAGAAAATTCTAGTAGTTAGTAGAAAAGCAGGAACCAGAAGTCAGATCTCCTGACTTAGTGTCATGTTTTCCTCCCTCTAAAAGTCAAAGCATTGAACTCTCAATGCTAAAACTAACTCAGCTGACCAGTCCTTCTGCATATTCAATAAAAATAGCACCCACATATGCACATAAAAGTGCCCACCATGTGCCAAGCTCTGTGCTAGATACTGTAGAGAGATGTGGACTATTTGTTGAGTGTGAATCCCTATTTGTGTGATTCTTTGTTTCATGTCTGTCTCTATAGCCAGGTCACTGAGTCCTGAGGAGGGCAGGGGCCGTGTCTGTCTGTTTCGCTACTGTACTCCTAACGTGCAGCGGAGATGGATGCTCAGGAGATACTTGTGGAGTGAATGGACAGAGGGGACATAGTGACTGGTCCCAGGGAAGTCCAGGATTAGGAGGCAGCTAAAACCAGAGGTCCGAAAGCAACCAGACATATAAACATCATGTTTTCAAATATGCTAAAGGAGCTTAGATGTGTCCTTATCTCCAAGCACAAAGCTTTATTAAGCTGGAGAACCTGGCCTGTTGAGAACCTTTGTTCCCCACTTACTTTTTTTGGCTTTGGGGGCCTTGGGCGGAGGTTTGGGGGTTGTTGGGGGTTTCCTTGTTTTTTCCCCAAACCCGGAAAGTTTCTTTGGAATTGTTCACTCTTTCAAAATAAAATAGAGGGTAGGTCTATGACTATGCACTGTAATTTAAATGTTCTTACTCTTCTAACACGTAGCAGTGTTAACAGGGCAGCCATGTGTCCTCTGCGACCTGTACTTTCCCTCATCAGTGAAATCATTCATTGTGTCTTTGGATTTGTAGATGTTATCAGCAGTGTTAGATTCCCCCTGCCTGTACTAGAAGGCTAGGGCACCCTGGTTTCCAAGTGGCCCGGTGAACAGACCCTGGAAAAGAGAAAGATAACAGAGTGGAATGACTCAGGTAAACTGACTCATATTTGGCAGAAGGGCCAACAAGGGCGGCTGTGGGGAGGTGGGGCAGAGACATCTCACAAAGTCAGGGTCCTCTAACGATGGATTTCTGGGAAAGTGCCCCAGCCTTCCTCTTATAATCCAGAGGAATGACAGTAACAGTGTCTCTGTAGGGCTGAGTAGATAAGGAAAGAGTAACCATTAAAGGGCCATGAGAGATGGGCTTGAGAAGGTGTGGGGCCCCAGGGTACCCCTCCAATCACTTCCTGCATGTTTTGTACGCTGTGGTGTGGTAGAAGGAGTTGGACACACCTGGGTTCAAATCCAAGCTCCGACACTTATTCTCTGTGCCACACTGCGTAGGTTACTGCACCTTCATTCCCTGTCCATAAAACAAAGATAATAATACCAATCTCACTGAGTCACGGGGAAAATGAAGTAAAATATATTTACCTGGTAACTGTTAGACATTCAGTAAAGGTTAATTTCCACCCTTACTAGAGGGGAGGCAAAAGTTTAGATACTATGAATAAGGGTACACAATTACTTAGCAGACTGTGAGGATCTTTAAAAATTCTTGAGTAAGCCAGGTGTGGTAGTGTGAGCTTATAGTCCCAGCTACTCAGGAAGCTGAGGCAGGAGGATCGCTTGAGGCCAGGAGTTTGAGGTTGCAATGCACCGTGATCGTGCCTGTGAATAGCGACTGCACTCCAGCCTGGGCAATATAGCGAGACCGTATTTCTAAAAATAGTAAAAAGTCCTGAGTGTACACTATCCTCCCTGAGATGGTACACCATGTTTAGTATGTGTGTTCAGTGTTGGCTGATAAAATCCCCATGCCTTTTGTCATAGATTGCCCTTATTTGGTTTCTTTCTTTTTATTTCCCTCAATACTATATTCATACAGACTGTCCTTATTTGGTCAGGTGACTTAGTAACCTGAGTGTAGGGCTACTTTACATCTATTAGATTTTTCTCTTATTTAGTTGCATCTCAATGTTTGAGTATGTATTGAATATAAATGATCTTGTCCAGTATGTTAGCTATATCTCCCAGCATTATTGGATAAACATACCTTCTGTGGCTTCATTCAAGTTCTTGCTAAAAAGACAAGATTGAGGACACAAGACCAATGCCTAACTCCCCCTCCTCATTTCTCACTCAGGGTTTGGCACTTGGCAGCCTCCTTGTCTGACTCTTCTTTAACATCTCTAGGGAAGGAAACTCAACCACTTTTCTCAGAAGCAGAAGAACTAGACTGTTTGCTTAAGCTATAAATCCTCCCTTGATGAGAAAACAGTCTAATATTCTTGATTCTGCATTAAATACTGGCAGCCAATATGGATACCTCAGCAAATGGCATTAGTAGCTTTCCCAGGATTGCTTTTGTTCGACTCTCAAATGGGTCTGCAGAATTAGACTCTACCTTACACCTGTCCAATGTATTATCTCTCTGAAGGTAAACTGGTGTGCTTACTTTTCCATAGTGGTCTGAGCCCCTCCCTATTCTGTCCAGGAATCAGTTCATGGTACTCTGTAAAGGATGTTCCACTGTAAATAGTCCTTTGCCTATATGTATATTACTAACAGATGGGACTTTGCAACCCATACTTCAAAGAAATCGAGAATTCTAATGTGTAGTGAGGTGGCAGCAAAGAAGTTGTTGTTTAACATGATGGGTATCTGCTCAATAATTTCCAACAAATGGTACAAAAGCAGTCACCTGAACCATCGTGGTCCTGGTACATATCTGTACCATTTCAATGAATGCATGTTTAATTGAACATTACAAGCCCATCCTAGTAGGGATACTCTCCATCCAAAAATCACTATGACTTCCTAGACATGTCCAGGTTGGCTGGAGACAGGGAAATTGAAGAGAAATTGAATTGCAGGTGTTCTTTTCTGCAAAAATTATAAGGGGAAGAACACTGCTGGACCATCCCAGGGCTGATGTATGATTTGGAGAGGAACTTCAGTAACAAGCCAATGTGATCTGAGATACAAAGTGGGCTGATAACGGTGATGCGCTGAAGGGGTCCTGCTGCCTAGAAGTAGAGTCTTCAGCTGAGCGCAGGATTTATCAAAGATCTGCTCTCAAGGGGAGAAACAAGGAAGGGAGGCAGAGGCTGGGGAGAAAGAGTGAAAGCAAACATGCACTTGTTTTTTGCTGGAGTCCCGCTCAGTCTGATCCCTGCCAGGGCTCTGGAGCAGGAATTGCATGGAGTTTGCCCTGCCTGCGGCAAGGCGGCTGGCCTTTTGTGTCAGCTGTGAGCTGTGAGCAGCCAACAGGCACAAAAGCTGGGATGTGGGTGCACTGGCAGGAGAGGGGATCTGGATGGGCTGCCAAAAGTCCCGACTGCAGGGAGGAAATGTGATGTAGAAGAAAGAGGATGGGTTTTGAGATCAGGTATGAATTCAATCCCTGACTGTGTACT